CAGGGCCTATAAAAGGATACTTTGGTTCCATTAAGAAATACACAAGTTGAGAAATTTTATTTTTTAACATGTCCATATTCTATTGTCTCTTTGCAGTCTGTATATTTCTTTAGTTATATAACAGTAATTGAGTTCTATAAATATTATGAGTCTAGGATAGTTTGATTCACACGTTCTCTTACATTTTGTTTTATAGATTCTCTTAGTAATATTTATCTTAAGCAGTAAAATTTTACCAATGCATGTTACTTATAAATGTTATTTTTCCAACCAAAACTACATTAATATGTGTATTTTTTCATTGTTTTCACTAATAATTATTTATACTTTTTCGTGCACAACGCACATAGGTGCAAACTACTACTATGGGTGCTATCAGGGGATCTAAGTTCAAGTCATTCTTAATTTGTACAAGAAGAATTGACCAACACTTTGTTTGACAAAAATACTTGTTTTATATAACATAAACCACATAACTCAACATAAAATAAACAGTATTCTTAAAGGCATCATTGTCCATTACTGGGTGTACGAGAAAAAGATATAGAAGATTGAACATAAAACAGGCAAACATACACACACACGAGCAAATAGATAAATGTATCACCGTTTTAAACGTGTTCTTGCTCATTAGTGGGTGCGTTAGAAAAACTTTAAACATATTGGACTAGCAATAGTTCATTTTTGAGTTATCCAAGATTAATCTGTATCGATTCTATACCTTCCGAGTCTTAACATTTTCATCAATAGAGTGTAAAACCCGATAAATTTAATTTTTTGTAAATAAGGGCAAAACGGTAATTTTGTCGCTACAGTACGGGTTGGAGACCTGAATTTTTTTAGATCTCAGATGGCGAAACGGACCTTACCATTGGATTCGTCTCGCAAAACTAGTTACCATGTCAAATTTCATCGAATTTCAAGATAGTCGAATTTTTCACGTTTTATGAGGCGACCGAGTCTCGGGTGACCCGAAAACAGGATTTTCAATAAAATTTTAAAATTTGAAAAATAATTAAAGGTAAATTAAAATAAAATTAATTTAAACTTGAACCAGAACGAAATTTATTCGTTTCGGAATGAAAACGGACCCGAAAACAAAAGGGTCGTGTGGCGCGTTGTGGGGCAAGTATCCTAAGAGTATAAATAGGGGAAAAAATCAGAGTTTTTCCCCATTTCTTCAACCGGTTAACGTGAGAGGGGAAGAGAGGGACAAAGGGAGGAGCTCTCTACTTCTCTCTACGATCTACGACTCCACGGTGCTCAAATCCACTCGGGGTAAGAACATAAGTTGTTCTCCTCACCGAGGGCTACGCGATCACACCAAAAACGACGGGTTTCATCGAAGGTTGAAAAATGAGATTTTGAGAAAGTGAGGATTCAAGGTTGTTTTGAGTTCTTGGGGCTTCCCAACGTCAGTTTACGCTTCGAGAGGTAGGGGTTCTCCTACTTTGGTTCGTTTTTCATTTGTAGTGTTATATGAAATGTGTGAGTTAAAAGGGAATATGTATTTCACTCATTTATGTATATGACATGAGTGAAATGGGTATGAAAAACAAGTATGTAATGGGTTGGAATATAATTTTCTAGCTCGAAATTGTAATGTGAAAATTGTTTGTTTGGTAATTCCATAGGAAAAGTGATTATATGAGTATGCTATATGTTTTATATTATACTTCGTGAATGAGGTGGAAATTCTTATGTGATAATATGAATTGTTGCCTTGAAGGTGTTTGCCAAAAATGTCTATATGTGGATTGAGTTGTTATGACTTGATGGTGTATAACATACTTAGAAAATGTGTTAGAAATAAATGTTAATATGTGCTCCTTGAGATATTGACATTGTGATGATTTATGGAATTCATATGCATATGATATGAATCTCCATGGAACATGTAGATATGTGGTTCAAAATTGCTCAAATGATATTCATTACATGTGGGTACGATGTTGGAATAGCAATAATTCATTACATTGCATATGCACGTAGACATCGCAATTTATGGGTGTGGGTGCATGGTTGGCATCAAACACCACGTAGGTGGATGATGGGTGGGTTCGAAAAAATTGGATTGAATGTCCGACTGAGTCGCACGGTTGCATGTAAAAACTTGGGTTGGGGTAGCAAGAAGGGTTAGACCATCCCTCGGGTGAGAGACCCGGTATTTGGATACGCACTTCCGCTAATATGAGAGCCCATAAAGTGTGTCGGTGTATGCGGAACCGTTGGTGAAAGTCCATGAATTCCGTTTCGGTTGGGTGACCGTTGGTGTAAGTCCATAAATACCCACCCCAAGAAAGACTCGAAAATTTTAGTTAGTCATTGGGTGTGTAACACAAATAGCGGCGGTTTGGAGAGTCCAATTTTGATACTCACTGTATAGCATGGGGTGAAGGTAGATAGCCGGAGCTAAAAAAGCTCGGTGTTAATACACATTGGCATGACATGTGTTGAGGAGCCGGGGAAAGGCTCGGAGTTAAAATACGGGAGTGAATCTCATTTCATTCATGGCAAGTTTCATGGTAAATTCCAACATGGTTTACATAATTCTTGTTTTGGAATGGATTTTGTTTGTGTTTTGTTGCATAACACATTGCATATGCACTTAGGTGGAGAGTAGCCCTCGTAGGAAATTTTTTACTGGGTGTTGGCTCACCTTATACGGGAAAATATTTCAGGTGTAGGGTTCGTACCGGTGAAGGACTCATAGTCGGGGCCTCAAAGATGAAGAAAAACCAGTTTGTGGCTTTTGGGAAACAAGTTTTGTAAAAACCTCGTTTTGGCATTGTAAATACATGTAAATTAATTGTAATGACTTGTAAAAATGAGGGTTTATGTGAAAAACTCCATCATGCATGTTTTGGATGAAAATGAGATGGTTTGAAATGGATTGAAAATGAAAAACATGTGAAAAATGCAAAACTGGGCAAAGTATACCGGTACTGCGTACCGGTACAGTCTGTCCAAAAGGAAATGTGTACCAGAAGGAAAAGTGTACTGGTACCGTCTCCTAAAATCTGAAATTTTTAAATTATTTTGCCATACTTTTGACCTTTTGTTTTCCTTGGTTCCAATGATACAAATGAAAATTAAATGAGGTATATTGAGGCTCATTGGACCTCCATTGAATTAAATGATTAAAGGAACACAGATGATATGTGTAAGTTATGATCCCGATTAGAGGGATGTGTTAGACGTGATGTCGAACTATGCGACCTTCACGGATATTTTCGCGGGTTGACGGATGGTCAACAGGACCCCGGTTTTAGGGGTGTCAAATAGAGACCTAGATAATGGCCCTTTTTATTATTAAAAAATGAAAAGACAAATCAAATTGGAATTGTGCCCAACACAAATTGATTTGAATATAAAATTTCAACCTCTTTTAGTTTAAGGCAGCCTAGTAAGTAACCATCATTCAGAGGTATTTGAATTTTTCTTTGAAACAATCCTTATCCGTTGAAGAATAACCAAGCAAATAAACATGCCCCCTGTTGTGAAGTATACCAATGTATTTTATCCAAACAACATGCTTTTGTGCGGATGCATTTGATTTTTTAACCACAATGGTTTTATTTTAATTTAATTTGTTGATTTAATTCATCATAACCATTGGATTAATAATTGAGTCTTAAAAAACACTGTGTCCAACTGTCAATTCAACAGTAGTGAGAGATCAAATCAATAAATTAATTACAAATAAAATTACCCTCTCGTGATCTTGTATGGTTATACAAATTAGTGAGTCATTGTAAACATATAAAATACATTAAAACATGTGTGACATATCTATAAAGGTTTAGAACATTTCTAACAGAACATGTAAAACTCTAAAATAATTAAAATTTAACTAACCAAAGAGAAAAATCATACACCAACAGAACCTGTTCAGATATTATAAAATAATTTTTTGCTACCGTGATACTCTAGATATCGAGTATTATTGTAGTAACTTATATAAATTGTTTATAATTTTTTTCTCATTCTGTCCCTTCTGACATCTTTTGTCTACTTTTTGTCTTTCCCTTCATTATCTCTCTCAATAAAAGTACAAAATATAAGAAATAATATTTAAAAGAAGTAGTTAAAATATAGAAAATCTGTTGAAGGTTGTATAAAAAATTTGAGTAACTAAAATAAAGAATATTACTTTCTACGTAGCTAAACTAGATTTTGTTATTGGAGATGATCTTAAATTTTAGTATCAGGAGAAAATTTTTTTGGATATCGTACCTCCTTTTTTTATTATTTTAATATTTTATTTTGTTCTATTATTGCAATGGTCAATGACCACGACTAATTCAATTCAAGCTTTGCCGTTCAAATTCAAATTTTGTTGGTGACATAATGTTATTTATAATAGAAAATAAGATAAATTTTAATAAATTTATTTGACGGTTTCAAATAAATTCATTTAACGACCATCAATATTTTTTTTTAAATCATTAATATTGTACTGTGTCTTCGGATAAACCTTACCCCTAGTCCTTCTCTAAATTATTGCCTTAATATTCCCACAAAATATATGTACATAAACGCGGAGTAGACAACGATGAAAAAATGCAAGCCAAGCCGACCTTGTTTCTAATCTCTTCAGCCGACATTATTGTTCAATATAATAGTATATGGATAACGTGGAAAATGTTTGAAAACGTGACAGGAAAGCAAACCCATGCCACTTGTAATAGGAGTCGGCTATTTATTTTATATATATATATATATAGAGAGAGAGAGAGAGAGAGAGAGAGAGTGGGGTCAATATGTGACTTCTACCCAATTGCAACCATACGTCCAAGCTGATGTACATATACTTAATTTCTTTTCTTCTCTCCTCTCTTCTTTCCTCAAGGTGGGCTTGACTTTGACAAATGGCTAAAGAATTTCGAGATTTCAACTCAACCGACAGGAAGAGAGACAATTAACTTTTCTATTAGAATCAACGACTTCTACCAAATTGCTCTTTTCTCATAAATTAATTCAATAAAAAAGGCTCCTCATTGAGACAACTGTCAGTGGCAAAGTTTTCTTGACCTTCCTAGTTCCTTCACCTTGCAAACACAGCTAGCTTCGACTTTATCTCTCTCTCTCTCTCTACCTCTATCTCTGTCTATATATACTCGGCTGTTCTTGGGTTCAGGAAAGACTTTAGATCAGACCATTTTGAGAGGCCTGTGTTTGAAGAAGCTGTGTTCAATTCAATTCTTGGTAGAGAATAGTTCAGTGAGAGAAAAGAAGAAGAAGAAGATTGTTTTTGAAGGGCTATGGAATATACTAGTCTTGTTGATTCTTCGTTGGATCTTAATGCCTATCCTCTTAGACTTTTCGATGAAGCTCCGGTAAGTGAAGACCTATCTTCTGGTTCTAATTCATGGGATAGAGGCTCTAGTTGTTTACTATAGTCTTGATTGAGTTCTAAATTTACATGTTTTTTTTGTTTGTTTGCTTGCTTTCAGAAACAAGAGGTGAAATGCAATTTCTTTGAGTTGGGATTGGGAAGGAAGAAGTCAGAGAAAGCAGAGGTGAGTGTTTTGAACATACTTAAACCATAGATTATCTTGGGGGTTATATGCCTGCTAAGAATGATTAGATTTTGGGGTTCTAAAGTTGAATTTTTTTGGGGGGTTTTCAGACTGGTGCTTTAATGGAGGAACTGAATCGGGTGAGTGCCGAAAACAAGAAGCTAACAGAAATGCTGACAGTGGTGTGTGAGAATTACGAAGCTTTGAAAAGTCGTTTGATGAATTATACGAGCAAAAATTCAGGAACTGATCAGATCAGTACCACATCGAGGAAGAGAAAGGCTGAAAGCCCCACCAACCACTACAACAATGGCGTTATTGATGGGACTAATGGAAATTCAGAGAGCAGCTTAAGTGATGAAGAATCTTCTAAGAAACCGAGGGAAGAACACATCAAAGCAACCATTTCAAGGGTCTGTGTTCGAACTGAAGCATCCGATACAAGCCTTGTAAGTCCTTAGCTCTTTGTACTTTACAAACCATTATTTGAAGGTTAAAAATGAATAATTCCGAAACCCGTGTTGTTAGATTAAATGGTCGAATAAGGAATAAGGCATGAATTTACACGTTGTGAGGTCAAATTCTCTAGTTGCATAAAATCCGGGTTTAATCAATCCTTGTGGTTAATGGTAGATTGTATGCATATAAGAGATGTACGTTGCAGCCATGAGTCTAATTGACGTCTGATTCGTGGTTAATGAAATTATAAGAGCTCTTGATTTGAGGTGTTAAACAAGATTTTGTTCCTAATACTGAGCAATTTTGTGTGCATTACAGTTAGTGAAGGATGGATATCAATGGAGGAAGTATGGCCAAAAGGTCACCAGAGACAACCCTTGTCCCAGAGCTTACTTCAAATGCTCTTTTGCTCCTAGCTGCCCTGTCAAAAAGAAGGTGAGCCAAATTCTAAGCTTCACCTATCAGTCCTTAAAGATACTTGATACTCCAGATGAATTCCTAGATTTAGGTCTTGTACTTAAATTGAACGATGGGTGTTAGCATTCTGATCTTATTTGTTCCCATTTCTGTCTTTCTTCAGGTTCAAAGAAGTGTTGAAGATCAGTCCATACTTGTAGCAACATATGAAGGGGAGCACAACCACCTACACCCCTTAAAACATGAGGCCTCTTCGGCCTCCAATCGCTGCGTGACACTTGGCTCAGTTCCTTGCTCAGCCTCTCTCAGCTCATCAGGACCCACCATTACTCTTGATCTAACAAATCCCAGACCTAATGATGATGCCAAAGTTGCTAACCCCAGAACTGATTCACCAAAACTTCAACAGTCTTTGGTGGAACAAATGGCCTCTTCATTGACCAAAGATCCTGGCTTCAAAGCAGCACTTGCAGCTGCTATTTCAGGAAGAATTATCCAAAATAAACAGGAGAATTGGTGAAAAACCATGGAGAGGGCTTGAGATTGAAGCGAAGTTATTCGTGTAAATACAACATTGAAGGAGGAACAGAGACGAGGGGACACTTTTCAGTGTGGTTGAAATTGGACGGGTTAAACCTGTTACCAAACAAAACCCAGACCCAAAAGCAAACTCACTCCAACCATTGGGCAATTGGGCATATGGTGGTTGAGAGTCTTGAGACCATAGAAGGAGGTGCCTAGTTGAGGCCTCAGATGACAGATTCACTGCTATGTTCCCCTTTCTACGTCAATTGTTCATATATTTTAGTGCTCTCTCTCTCTCTCTCTCTCTCTCTCTCTCTCTCTCTCTCTGTGTTTGTGTGTGTGATTAAAAGAACACAGAATATTTAAGGCCTTAGCAAAATTCGCATCTGTAGACAGAGAACCATTTCTGCACCACCCATTGAAGCAAGATGATCATACCTACGTCTTCTACAGAGGTGTTAAAACTTGCATAATCACCTGCCCGGTATCTGCACCACCCAGGGATCATGAAAACACAAACATCATCCACAACATGATAATGGTGAAAGGGCCAATGATCGAGGTTCATATTGTTTAAAGATAATTAAAAAATGCCGAGGCCAAAAATNGAAAACACAAACATCATCCACAACATGATAATGGTGAAAGGGCCAATGATCGAGGTTCATATTGTTTAAAGATAATTAAAAAATGCCGAGGCCAAAAATGGTTAGATCACGCCATCACTGTACAGAAGAGGCTTAATATCCATCTCAAAGCATAGTAAGCACCTTGTACACATCTTGGCATGCCAAATTCTGTTCTGAGATCTACAAAGTGTTGAAAAAATAAATTCATAATTGTTTGTACACAACTTCTCGTCCCCAACTACCCATTGCAGGACAGGGTGACTGAGCACCCTTTCATAGTGTAAATTACAACGCATGGACAGAAGTCCTTAACAAATTACTCCGTGGGTAAACTCAAACCCTCAATAGCTCCTGCTAATCCAAACTCAATTGCCTCAGGTTGCTTCCCTTGGACCTTAGTCTTGAGGTTGTCATCTTTATCCCTAGCCTCTCCTGCAGCTATGCACTCCTGAAATCTGAAGCAGCTGATCAGATGATCGTTAGTCATTCCAGCCACTTGCATGAATGTGTAGACAACTGTTTGCCCCACGCCTCGGAACCCTCTTTTCACGAGATCTTTGCTTATCGCATCTGCTTTCGATGTCTTAATTGGGACCTGCCGTGGATAACGGAAATGACTAACTATAGGCTTATGGTTTACAAATCCCCATATGTATTTGCCAAAAGACCCAAACTCATCTATTATCTGCATCATCATCACATCAAAAAGAGAAAAAGTAAATCAGACTGAATGGCTTGTGTATATCCGCGGCATATGGCTCTTAATTAATCATCTCCTAATATAGCATAAATTCCTCGCCCATTGTATTTATCCATTTGCGAGTCTGTGGCGACCCCAATGAATAATTCTACAAAAACCAAAAAGTCATTAGACTTTTCTTCTTTCATTGGATGCTAATAACAGACCAATATCATGTTTCTCCAGAAATCAAAACCTAAGATTATATTTAACTTCTGTGTGTACGATGGAACTATGGGCTGTGATACACTGATCCTTTTTCTATTGAGTAAACACAGCCATACAATCAGTTCATTTTAATACACGAGATATTAAAACCTAGAACAATTAGCATTTCAATAGATGGGGATCAGCAATTTCACCATTTTATCATGGACTTCACGTACCTTANTTAATACACGAGATATTAAAACCTAGAACAATTAGCATTTCAATAGATGGGGATCAGCAATTTCACCATTTTATCATGGACTTCACGTACCTTAAACATACAAAAACAAATCTTCATGAGACCACAATAAGCAACATTTTAGTTTAGCAAGATGAATAATGCAATTAAAAATAACAAGATCAGCACATACCTTGCAAATTTGACGTGCATTTTCGATGATACNTAAACATACAAAAACAAATCTTCATGAGACCACAATAAGCAACATTTTAGTTTAGCCAGATGAATAATGCAATTAAAAATAACAAGATCAGCACATACCTTGCAAATTTGACGTGCATTTTCGATGATACCTCGAAGCTTAAGCTCTGATAAAAGAGAGCTGGCAGCACTTCCTGGTGTAACTATCTTCTTCTCATTTAATTTTGAGACAGCAACTGGATCAAAGTCCTGAAAGACTTCTCTGCATACCAATACACAATACTTTGAATGAGCAAGGATCCCATCAATTGTCAGGTCAACCATCTGAAGGTTGCACTTATTTTCTGATTGCAATAGATTAGGGCAGATACTATGATTTGGTACCTAAATAAGCGCCTTTTATTAAGAATTGCCGGCCATGTAAGTTCAGCCAAAGCAGTGGATAAGCTGAGCAATTCGAACAGTTTCCTGCAAGTTATCTAGGAAAATCAGAGGCTTACCGAGAAGGCCACCAAATGAAGTCATGTAAAGTAATAGGAAGTTACAAAACGAATGGAAGATAATGTCATGAGGCTACATACTTGTCATTGTGGACTGGAACTCCCCATTCTTCGTCATGGAAAGCAGCATAACATAAATCTTTTAAAAAAAATGAAAACCAATTAGCCGATGGTATCTCATAAAAAGATAATTTCATAAACTCATGAACACACGAGGTCTGACACATACTCCACAGCTTCAGAGAATGCAGTATCCGATACATCCAAGACATAATCATGATCAATTTGGTGAAACTTCCCACCAACAAAAATGTTTTCCATGGAGTTTAAGAAGCTTTAACATCCAATCCATTTAGGATACAACCACATTTTTGTTAAAAAAAATTGTTAAAAAAGATGAGGCACCTAAAATATAAAAGAAAGCGGTCTTGCTAGCCACCACACTATATGCAGTCATAATACCATCGAAATGAGTTTTTGATTTACTCCACTATTGATAAGGGGTTATCATCCTCTTTTTATAATGGCCTGACTCGTTATCTTTACGATAAGTTCTAACATTCTTTCCAATTCAAATGAAGTAATACTTATGGGATGCCACTCCCATGTGATTGATGAGTATTATTCACAAGGGATATCTGTAATATCTTATTATCCAGAATAAGGACACTATGGAGGTAATGTCTAAGCCAGGAGATCAAATCAATGGTAGACTTTTTTTTTTGGTCAAACACACACAGAACCACACATCACACAATGATGGTGGTAGTGGTGGTGGCGGTGACACAATTGTAGTGATGGTGGCGGCACAATGGCGGTGGTGGTGGATGGTGGGCATTGAAAATTTGAAAGTGTAAAATGTATTGAGGGTATATTTGTCTATTACGAGGAATTGATATAATCGATGGTAGACTTCATTTGTCCGATTTTAATAGTATTTTTTTTATTGAAAAGTACTAATTGTAGTAATTAGTTAAATGAAATTGAATTGAAAATAAATGAGATAAAATGCAGCTGGTGCAAAAGAGCTTTGCCCGTAAAACTCCAATTTCCTATAAACTCATCCCAAAAATAAGATTTGGACACTGTTTCTTTGAACATGTAAAGGGGCATATACACATCGTCAAAGTGGTGCCTTTTTGTTCATATACAAGACATAGTGCATGTTCAGCGACCACTTTGTCCTTTTACAATGCCCACCTCTACAACATCCTATAAGCTCCACCAACACACTTGGCGTGGACCATAGCAGCCTAAACAGAGAAAACATTCTCATAGTCTCTAGCTACCAAGATGCAAATCCAGCTTGTCCTCTACTCAAGGGCCACTATTAAGCAACACTTGCTACTAGTGTGGCCCATTACAATTTTTCACAAGTTTAGTACGGTTTTCTTACTTTTAAGCAAGGCACTAAAGCACAATATCACCGTAATTTATAAGAAAACCTCTGGGTTCCGCAATTTCATCATAATGTAACCTCTCTTTCAAACACTATTGCTCTTGTAACCTCAATAGCCGCGATTCAAACATTCTCACACACATCATTCGCAGACAGACATATATAAATATACACTCCTATGCTACATAGATCGAGATTATAAGTGTACATTGTGAGCTCAAGTCAGAAAATCAAACATACCAGTATTTGGCGTTACCCAAGCACACCTCTTCTTAACTGCTGCACCATCAGCAGAACCCACTGATACAGTATCAATATCAGTACCGACTTTCTCATTCTTTATACCGCATTGATTCCTCCGAATCTGCTTCAGCGTCCGATTGATCTTCCCCGTCGACGCCCGACTTTGCGATGAATCGGATGACGCGTCCGACGAACACGACGCATTCAGAGACAAATTCGACCTCAAAAGCTTATGGTCCTGCTGCTTCAAAACCGACTGCACAGTCAAATAGTTCTTGGGCAATGGGGTTGAATTTGGTGATGATGGAGCTTTCTTTGCCCTGGCTTCATCGATTTCCTGGGGCTTCTCAACATTACTCTTCGGTTTTGACCCCGGCTTTCGCAATTCCACCGATCTCGCCTTGTTACCGGCCGGTACAAGCACCGGTCGGGTCTCTGAGTCAGCAGCACAGTTCATCGATTTCACTCGCGGTCCTGACATTGAAGCAGTTCCACTGTATTTGCCCCAAATGTGAACAAAACTTAGGGTTAGTCGGTCAGTGACTAACCTAGGGCTAGAACATTGATAGAACAGACAGATTGAAGAAGATGTGGAGGTGCATTGCGCAAATATGTGTTGGGAGTGTATGGAAAATCGAAACCCTGGAGAGTGGTGAAGGTGGGAGAGATGGAAATTGAAGATGTGGTTACGGAAAAAACCCTAGTAGCGACAGAGATGTGGTAGTGCATTGGCGACGATGGAGCTCAGTAGTAGGAGTTTGTGGTTGTTCGAAGTGGAAAATTGATGTACAAGTTTTGGAAACTTGTGGCAGCTTGATCATTGAAGAACATAAATCAACGACGGCCAGTCATGGATGTTTCGAGAGAGAGACAGAGACAGAGAGACTGCTTGAGAGAGTAAAGTCACCGGTGATAGATTGCCACGTCAGAATTTAGATATTTTTTTGAGGCTAATCTCAAAATGCATCCAAAAAAGATTCAAACCTCATCCTCAAAATTTAAAAATATTAATTTATACCCCAAAAGACATAAATTTATATCAATATGCACCTAGATTAACTATCATCTATTTTGCCGTTAAAACAATTTGGACTAATTATAAATCGCACCTTCAAATTTAAATATTTGACATTTATAATCCAAAAAAAAATTTCATTCATTAATACTCATTAAATATCTCTCATTAATATTTTTTATTTTCTTGTTGAGTCAACTGCATTGTGTCGTATATTTTACATTTATAATAATTCATATAATATTATTTAAAAAGAATAAAATACCTATTTTTTGTCTATAATAATCATTAAATAGTTATTTTCTTTCTAAAGTTAGACTCGACACGACACGACATAATTGAGAATTATTTAACTAACATTAATGGATGTAATTCTTTTTAGATCATAAATATAATATATTTAAACTTTGAAGGTATAATTTATAATTAGTCTAAACTTTTTGTATGGCAAAATGAACGGCAGTTAACTTTAGATACATATTGATACGAATTTTCAGGGTGTAAATTAATATTTTAAAATTTTGAGGGTGTAAATAAAATTTCAAGTGCCTTTCGAATTTATATCTTTTAGGTGTAAATTAATATTTTAAAATTTTTAGAATATAAATATAATTTTAAGTGATCTTTCAAGGTGCAAGTTGAAATTAATTTTTTTTTTTTTTTGGTATATTCACTAATCTCAGCGTGCCGGAATGCGATGTCGGTCGGAGTGGGGAAGAGATCAATAGCGGTGTATCTAAATTGGGCCAACTGTGTATCTAAATTGGGCCAACCATTTCTAATTGTTAAACCAAAATATATAACTTTTTGATCCATTAAATATCATTTCTTTCTCTCCTCCATGTCAAACAAATCAGGTTGAATTTGGATTTTGATTGATCTAAATTCGATTTTAAAAGGGCTATCTCAATTTAATTATATTATTTAACAATTTTTATTTTAGTGATTCATATTCTGTATTTGTTAAAAATTGCAAATCCGAGGCAAAAATTTAATCTGATCTAAATAACTTAATTTAACTAGGTTTTAACAAATTATATTCAAATTTTAATTAAATATTTCGAATGAGATCATAATCGAATTATCAGTAAAAAATTTCAATCTATATTTAAATAATCAAAATCTGATTCATTGACATGTTTACTTATCATAATCTTTTATGAATATTACACTTGAAACTTTTAAATTTTTTTTTTGAGAGAATTATGCTCAAATTTTTTAGAATTGTCATTTAATCACTCAAACCCCTTGACATTTAAAATATTACACACAGAACACCTAATATTGGTACGCGCGTAGCACTTAAACTCCTAACGTCAATATCTGTTAGTAAATTATATTTAGACCCCATGAAATTTGTAAATGTGTAATACTTAAATCCCTCAAATTTAAAATATTATACTTTGACAAAAAATGTTCTAGTCAAATATCAAATATCAAATATTTTAAATTTTACAATCAAAATTCATGTTCTATTGTGACATTTATTTAAATAAAATCAAAAATAAAAATTTAAATTTTTTAAAAAAAATCATAATTAGTATATAATTATACTATTTATTGAAATTTAATTTGGTCAATTAAATGATCAAATTAAACTACCAAATTACCCTTATTAAAGCTAGAAAATATTGTATCTTTTACAGTTTGACTCCTTGTTTGATTTTTTAGTTGTATTCCAAAAGATAATATAATTATATACTAATTATAATTTTTTTTTAACATTGAATTTTTATTTTTAATTTTATTTCAATAAATGATACAATAAAACATGAAATTTTTTTTACAAATTTTAAAATATTTAATATTATATTTTTAATTAGAGTATTTGTGGTCTAAATATAATATTTTAAACTTGAGGGATCTAAGTATTATATATTTACAAATGTATAGGAGTCTGAGTGATTAAGTAATAAATTTCAAAAAATTTAAGTATATTTTCCTTTATTTTTTTTATATTTGGAACATGTGGCGCCCCCAACGAGAACGATATGTATTCTGATACGCTAGGAAGAAGAACCAATACTCGTTATTTCATGATTTTTTAGGTAGACGGTGTAAAACACTTAATAGCAACTACTCACCATCCACCATATATAGTACACAATGTGGCCCCATGTGTGATCCAATGATGCTCCTGCTAGGACTTCCTAAGCTCACTGAGCAACGCTTTGAGTATCTTCAAGTTGAATATTACAACAACGTCTCAGCCCATAATCCAAAAATCAGAGGCGCCCGGACATTTTGGGTTAATAAGATTTTTTTTAATATTAATAATAAAATTTATATTTTAATTTTTTAAAAACAAAAATATTAATTAAGTTTTTGTATTCAAATTTTTGTTATCATAGTTAAACTTGAGAAAGGGAGAAGAATAATTGAAAAATTATGATAATAAATTTAAATTTTACTTTTTTTGGGGGGTCAACACTTGATTTTTAGTAGATTTAGTTATATTATTAACTTTATTTTTGGTTATCAAAAAATTGAATTTTAATGCGTTTTAATTTCATAGGCTGAATTAATAGGTCTAATCAATTCGAATTAAAATATTTTTTTAGACTTAAATTTAATTATTTTTTGGGACCTATTTTTTATGAATTTAAATTTTTTATTTGAGTTATTACTATACATTTAAAAATTATAAATTTTTTTTAAAAGGAGACTTAAAACTTAGACGTTATTGATGTAATGGTTGGGCTGGCCTTGCCAAAAACCTAAAAGTAATACAATGAGTTTTTTTTCCAAATCCAGCCCCCTCAGAACTTAATTTTAAAAATCAATCTGTTTTAAACATAATTCTCAAATTCAATTTTTTTTTTTGAAAAAGTCATTTGAAATGACGTTTTCTTCCTTAAAAAATTCATTCTAAATTACGATTTAATGTTAAAATTTTTTTATTGAAAACGTCATTCACAATTATGTTTTTAAATTCGTCATTTGTAATGACGTTTTTTAACATGAATTTGTAAAACGGCAGCTAACAGCGTTAAAAAAAAAAAAGAGTGTAGAAAACGCCATTTGCAATGACGTTTGACGTTTTCCTATGCCACACAATCACTTGTCTTCCAACTAACTTTGTAATAAATTTCATAAAAGTTTAAAATTCCACCTTATATCTCGCATCATGATCCACCGGTCAAAAAAAAAATTGAATAAATTTTAGAATTTAATTCATTTTTCATAATAATTTTGAACTTCTGTTCTAATCGAAAATAAATTTTATAAAAGCATAATTTAAACTCATATTTTTTAATATAAAAACATATTTGTAAAACATATTTTTTAATAGAAAAACTTAAAAGTGTGTTTTGAAAGCACACTTCTATATCAGAAAGTATGTATTTAATCCATGCTTTTCTAAATTGATTAAAAAAATCTTAATAGTATAATCTCACTTCTCACATCATAAAAGCATCCCAATCTGGACGAACTTTTTCCCAAATTCAGTCTTTTTTTTTATTGAAAATATCATTAGGTTTGAAATGACAAACGTAACAGGGGTTAAAAGAAATACATTAAAAAAAACGACAAAAAAACTTAAAAATATGGAAAAAGATACTAATACATTACAAAAAAATAATTTTATTACATGACACTGTAAAAAAATACAATTTGTCAATATTTTGGTTGATGTAAAAAACAACATAAAGGGTTGCCAAATATACATAAATTCGATGGAATAAAAGTATCAGACGCATCATCACTTAAATCACAATAATCAGAAAGTTCTGTATCTAAAACAAGTAACGGATCTTGTAAAATTTCAATCTCAGCATAATTAGGATCGAAATGCTCAATTTTTGCATGGTCGATTGCATGCAAACGATCAAGTCTACGCTGCATTTGATCATTTTCACGTTCAAGCCTTGTTATGATCTCGTGATGGTTAGTAGAGTTTTGTAGATCATATATATCGGTCGAACGTGCTTTCGGTACCATTAATCTATGCCAACGACAATATACTTCAAGCTCACAACGTTTTATCATATAATTGTCGCTATCTTGGCGTGGCTATGATATAAACACTTGGAGGTGAAGAGTCAGTCACAAGCCCCAAAAATGCATGTCCAACTTGACCGAATGAGTGATAAGGGTCAATAGGCTCATTACGGAACTCACTCTTTCGTCCATACCAAGTTACACCCGTAGCATCTATGTAGGATTCAATTGAACGAACTACGTCTACACCACATGCTACTCAACCAGTCAAGCGTTGACGTTCGTAGAATGAAGATGAACTTTGTTGTTCATTGTGTGATGAAGAACCTTAAGTGATTTGACTAGATTGCCTCTTAGATATGTGCCTAGACATATTTTGGGTTATGATGTACAAAATTAATAAATATGGTTTATATAGACACAAAATACAATTATATATAAATTTGACAGAAAAATTACTCAATACGACTAACATGACTTGACACGAGTAAAGTAATGATATGACTTCACACTGATAAAATAATGACATAACTCGTGAATGATAAAAGGACCAACATGACTTGTCACTAAGCTAACTACACTGATAAAGCAAGATTGACATGACTTGCCACTAGATTGACTACATTCACAAAAAAAGACTGACATGACTTGTCACTAGATTGACTACACTGGTAAAATATAACTGACATGACTTGTCATTATACTGACTACATACTGATAAAGTAATGATATGATTCCACCCTGATAAAGTAATGACAGAACTCGTGAATGACAAAAGAACTGACATGACTTGTCACTAGAGTGACTACACTGACAAAGCAATAAAATGAGTTAACAATGAAAAAATAAATACATAACAATTCAAATACAAAGGACTAACATGACTTAACACTACACTGGTTAGATAGGCTTGCAATCTCACTAATGAACAAATGCAAACTTTGTTAAGTTTCATCAGACATATAATCATCTAAAATGTATTGTGCATTCGACAATATATTGTTTTCCTCAACTGATGTCAACTCTCGTCTATGTGTAGTTTTCATCATGTCTTTTGCTTGTTGGAGCATATAATAACGAGACCTATGAACCAACATTCTATTATTCTCTCTTCGAACTTGTTTTACTGCTGATTCGTAGTCCTCTCTATTCCGGCGTTGCATTGTTAGTGATTGTCTACGAGGCGCTGGTATTCCAAGTTCTCTTAGTTGTGTAAATAGTTCGTTTGATTCTTTAGCACGAAAAGCTCACTCTCGTCGTACTCCTACATAATACTCTTTTGGATCAAAAATCTCTCATTCTTGTAATCATCGTTCCACTCTTGTAACAACCAAACCCGTTCATGTCTGTGATTGTTAAAACTCATAGAGAAATTTGATGTAGACATAATGTTGTGTTTGTCATATGAACGGTAAAATGGTGTTTAAATAGTAATGTCTCAAGCCTACTGTATTAGATAGGTCATATTAGTCAATAGTGAAACAGTGTAGTGATCAGATGTCATATATGGTATAGTCATTCATCAAACTAGTTTAAGGTCATTTCAATCTTTTTCCTTGTCAAATGTGTGTTGTCACTTCAACACATGGTATGCCGAAACTCATTCAGGGTTAAGTTAGTTCAGCACATGGTATATTGAAACCTATTCAGGGTTTTGTCACTTCACCACATAGTCTACTGAAATGCATTCAGGGTGTAATCACTTCTACACATGACATTAAGTAGTCACGAGTAGTCACTTTTTATTCTTTAGCATTATGACAGAGCAGTTAGTTGTCACTTCAATACATTGTTTGTATTGATATGGTCAGTTATTGGGAGATTTGTGTATTCACTATATATTCACCATCTTTAAGCAAGTAAGTGAAGAATACTTATTTCCAACATGAATTATAGTGTTAGAACTTTATATGAAAATATGGGTTATCATTGGGCCTTAGATGATGAGTTTTTCTATCCAATGAATCCTTATTTACGTTATTCTAGCAGACCATAAGTACCATGAGGGCCGAATTGCAATATCGTGTGACGGAGCGAAAATTTTTTATTAGAGATATACAAACTTGTAATTTACGAAAGCTTCGACAAATTGTCATCCATATGCCAGTTGAGACACCTCAACAACTAGAGCGAGCATTGTATCATTTTTGAGCTGAGAACAATTGCATGACAATCCGTATTAATCGTTACAACCTTCGTCACATTGCACAAAAACGTGCTGCAGAAGGGTTAATGGAAGAAGCACGTATAAGTTTCTTTCTAAGTGGAGAAGTTGCATGTATTTCTGATGTCAAGATGTCCGACGAAAATGTTAACCCATGAAACATGTTGTGTGGTGAACTGTGATGTTAGTGTTGTATAATAAACTATCTAGTCGGTATTGTTTGGACAAGTGTTAAGTTAGTGTTGTGTTGTGTGGACAAGTGTTATAGTAGTGATGTGGGAACAAGTGTTATGCTAGTGTTTGTGGGTAGAAATATTATTTTAAAATTCTATCAATTCTACAATTCTACAATAATGACATCAAAAGTTAGTGTGTAGGACATAACCAACACATTAAAATCAATGGGACTTGTTCACGCTTTCATCGAAACTTTTGCTTGTTCATGGTTTGAAATGTAATAAACCGGGTAGTCCGTTCTAATTTTCAATCACCCAATATTAAGGAAGGAGCACATTAAGTACATAAAATGGTTGACACTTATATCAGGAAAGTAATCTATAAAGACTACTAATATTTTTTTAAACAAAAGGGCAATGAAGATCTAAACCTCATAGAAGAATTGTCGAAAATTTGAAAAATTTAACTCGCTTATTCCAATAAAAACTTTTATGTCCCTCCTAAATTCAATTAGATATGCTCCTGTCAATTAATACCTTAAGTATTAGGACTCCAATACTATGCAAAGTAGACTACACTCAATCATTCTTAAACATCGTGACTGGTTTGGGGGGAAGAAAAGGGAAAGCATAGCAAAATTTTAAAGTTTACAAGTGAACGAGAATTGAGGAAGAAATATAGTTATTTATCAATTTAAATGAGTAGACAATTTATTTGTATAAATAATGAAACTTGACAAACAATTTTTCTTTTTTGAAGCGCCAAATTTTTAAGGGTTAATATAAGCAAATTCCATGTTATAAGGAACAAAAGGTTTCCCTAGGATTGTTTATAACTATCACCATACCCAACCATCCAAGCTATCAAACCTCTCTTGAATCAAATCTATCGAGCGGTGACTTTGTCATCTCTCAAATTTGCCACACATACGGTAAAGTCCTTTCACATGTAGATAACATTGTAGCTACTTGAAAAATTAACTAACCCAACCAACCAATAAGTAGTAAATAGCTAAATTCAATGGAGATCGTCAAATAGTTACAAAACCATCATTGATATACTTTTCTAACATTTGCCTCACAAAAATGCAATCAAGACATTTTTAGGTATAAAACCTCGAAATTATTCCCAATAACAACAGGTATATGGAGGATAGTATCCTGCTAATTCATAATTGCAACTTATTTATACTATATGACAATTTGAAATTATACAAGAACATTTATGGCCATTCGTAGTATAATGTTGTGTGAACCAAAGCACACATTAATTAATTCACTCTTTTATTTTAATGAGATGCTAATAGCAATAGGAGATTGAACTCAAAAGAAACGTTCATGTTTACACACTATAAATGACTATTGAACCGGGCATCCAGAGGAGATAGAAACAATATACAATTCCAAAAAGGCATGTAAGTTCAATCAACACACAAGTTCAGAAAAAAAATCTTGAAAGATCATTCTTATTCTATATAATTAACCAAACATTAAACTAGAAGAGTGCCAGGAAACATCTCATTCCAGGAAACATCTCATGCGAAGATCAATCGTCGAGCAACACCCAACATAGATTCATTGTAATTAAGTAAAAAAATCTTAATTAAAAATACATCCAAACTGGCAATAAAATTGAAATTTATTTCCTAAATTGCAAAGAATACACCTTAATTGTAAACTATCCACCCAAAATTGGCAGCATATACAGTATGGAGAATTGGTGTTCTGGATCGATTTAGGGCAAGAGAATAATTTCTGGTGAATATATACTTGTCTTGATGATTGTAGCTTTTATCATAAGCTTATCTTCTCAAACATAATTTGCTCGTAGATATCAATTTGTGAGAGACTAAATGATAATTTGTTGACAATGCTAACAGAAATCACCCCTCTTGCTCTCTCTCTCGGGTTTTCTCTTTTACAATAAGGTGTTGCATGATTAATTGAGGTTAAGTCTGTAGATATCAAATTTATGATAGACTAAATGATAACTTGTTGACAATGCTAACAGAAATCACCCCCTTTCCCCTCTATTTCTCTCTTCGATTTTCTCTTTTACAATAAGGTGTTGCATGATTAACTGAAGTTAAGTCTGATATCGTATCTGATATGGATAAATAACATACATGGTTACCTTTTGGTTGCAGTTCAATGACATATTGAATACTTTATTCTCTTCGCCTCCTACTGTGGCATTGATAGTTGGTACACTACTCGACAATACACTAGAAGCGAAGCACACCGGTGTTGACAGAGGCCTCCCATGGTGGGTTCCCTTTCAAAATAGGAAAGGAGATAGCAGAAATGAGGAGTTTTACAGTTTTCCTCATAGGTTTAATGAGTATATTCCCACTAGAAATTATTCTCTTGCCCTATATTCACTAGAAATTGGGACAAAAATCGATTTAGGCTGGAATGGAGAATGGAGAATAGAGAGTGGAGAATGGAGAATTGACTCACTGGTGGAGGATGTGCTCACTGTTCAATCGGTGGTGGAGGCAGTGCTCACTATTGGAGGTTATGGTCAGTCTCTTTGTTGAAGTCGCTGGTGGAGGCTGTGCTCACTGGTGGAGCTATGGATTAAGCTTGGATTTGACAAGGTTCCTATGGTCTTTCTCGTCAGAGACAAATGTTGTTCAATGGTTGGAGCTCATCAGAGACTTTGGCTGGCTGAGAGTGGTTGAGGAGGAGGAGAGCTAAGAGTCGTTGGAGGAGGAGGAGAGTTGAGTGGCTAAAANAAAATTGAAATTTATTTCCTAAATTGCAAAGAATACACCTTAATTGTAAACTATCCACCCAAAATTGGCAGCATATACAGTATGGAGAATTGGTGTTCTAGATCGATTTAGGGCAAGAGAATAATTTCTGGTGAATATATACTTGTCTTGATGATTGTAGCTTTTATCATGAGCTTATCTTCTCTAACATAATTTGCTCGTAGATATCAAATTTGTGAGAGACTAAATGATAATTTGTTGACAATGCTAACAGAAATCACCCATCTTGCTCTCTCTCTCGGGTTTTCCCTTTTACAATAAGGTGTTGCATGATTAATTGAGGTTAAGTCTGTAGATATCAAATTTATGATAGACTAAATGATAACTTGTTGACAATGCTAACAAAAATCACCCCCTTTCCCCTCTATTTCTCTCTTCGATTTTCTCTTTTACAATAAGGTGTTGCATGATTAACTGAACTTAAGTCTGATATCGTATCTGATATGGATAAATAACATACATGGTTACCTTTTGCTTGCAGTTCAATGACATATTGAATACTTTATTCTCTTCGCCTCCTACTGTGGCATTGACAATTGGTACACTACTCGACAATACCCTAGAAGCGAAGCACACCGGTGTTGACAGAGGCCTCCCATGGTGGGTTCCCTTTCAAAATAGGAAAGGAGATAGCAGAAATGAGGAGTTTTACAGTTTTCCTCATAGGTTTAATGAGTATATTCCCACTAGAAATTATTCTCTTGCCCTATATTCACTAGAAATTGGGACAAAAATCGATTTAGGGCAAAATCGATTTAGGCTGGAATGGAGAATGGAGAATAGAGAGTGGAGAATGAAGAATTGACTCACTGGTGGAGGATGTGCTCACTGCTCAATCGGTGGTGGAGGCAGTGCTCACTATTGGAGGTTATGGTTAGTCTCTTTGTTGAAGTCGCTGGTGGAGGTTGTGCTCACTGGTGGAGCTATGGATTAAGCTTGGATTTGACAAGGTTCCTATGGTCTTTCTCGTCAGAGACAATTGTTGTTCAATGGTTGGAGCTCATCAGAGACTTTGGCTGGCTGAGAGTGGTTGAGGAGGAGGAGAGCTAAGAGTCGTTGCAGGATGAGGAGAGTTGAGTGGCTAAGATGTTTGAAAATTTTTGACCTATAGCCTGTGATTTGTGAAATTTAAGTGATCTAACTTAACGTATAAATCGCCATTTGCAATGACGCTTTTAAAAACGTTATTGCAAATGACGGTTTTAACCCCTTTATTTCTTTAACGTCTGTTAACTCCCATTAAAAAATTCATGTTAAAAAATATCATTATAAATGACAACTTTAAAAACGTCATTCTTAATGACGTTTTATGAGAAAAAATTCAACTTCAAATTGTCTTTCAAAATGATGTTTTTATATATGAAGGCGGCATTTCAAATGACGTTTTTTAAAAAAAATTGGATTTATGAAATAAGTTCAAAACTGACTGGGTTAAGGAATTAAGTTCTGAGGGGGTTGGGTTTGGGGAAAACCTCGTCATACAACTTACTAGATTATTTCGAGGACATTATCATTGTGCTGTGTTGAACCCTGTGCAAGATGTCACAACACGCAACTTTTAAAAAAAAATTGAATTAAACTTAATTTCAATTACAATTGTTTCCTAAAAAAGATACAAGATTATAACCTGAATAATGTCTGAATTTAAATTTAAATGTGATTTGGTTCTTCAGAAGTCAAAGGGGTTGTTTGGTAAGGGAGTATGAGGGGGCTTGACAAGATGGGTTTAGAAAAAATATTCCAAAGCGTCCCCAAATCTCATGTTTGTATGAAAAATGCAATCCTGGGTTTTCAAACATAGCCTGTAACTAGCCCGAAAATTAACCCATGATCATGAGTTTCGTCAAACCTAGAGGGAGGTGGATTTGAGAAGATGGGTAAGGGTTTAACAATTTAAAAGATAATTGTACCTCTTAACATGAATATGAATTAGGTTGATTAAGGGTAAAATAGTAATTTATATGATAAATAGTTGTTAATAATTATAATATATTCGTGGAACTTACATGTGTATGTGTTGTATACTAAATATGGGTAATGAGGAATTTGAGTTTAAAAAAATTTAGAAAAATCAATCCAAAAAGTAGAGGTCTTCACCCATTTCAAGTTGTACACACTCCTAAGAAGGGGCGTTGGTCACAAGTAAGGATGTCAGTGGACCAAAACGGGAGCAGGGGGTGTAGTCTCCATCCCCGTACCCGCTTAAAAAAATTTTGTCCATCCCCGGTCCACCTCCATTAATGGATATAATTTTCATCCCCGTCCTCACTTCCCCCATACCCGCTCAAGCCTAAGCCCAAGGTCAAGCCATCATAATCCAAAATTTTAAATAAATCTAAAACTCAAAACCTAAAACCCAAAGCCAACAACCAGTAAAATCCACAAACTTTTGACATCAGTCAGTTTTAATTAGTGATAATTAAAAGCAGCAAGTTAATAAGCTCAAATCAAACTGCTGACAGCAAGAAAACGGCCCAAATTCAAGCCCAAAATAAACTGTTGACAGCAAGAAAATAGCCCAAGGCAAGACCCACGAACCAAAACAAAGTCTAGCATAACAACTAGCCCACAATTAGCAAACAAAAGTCTTCAGCAACACAACACAGTAACCATCAGACTACAAGCAACAATGCAGAAACCAACAAACTACAAGAGAAAGAATCAGCAAAATGGGATAGCAGTAACTTAGCACATCAAGAAAATTTAAATGCCCACAACCCAGAAGAAGTACTAACTACACAGTGACCAAAAACTAAAAGCAGCTAATAGAGAAGCGGTCAGCAGTGAGGAGCGGGACACAGAGGAAGAAATGGNAGAAAATTTAAATGCCCACAACCCAGAAGAAGTACTAACTACACAGTGACCAAAAATTAAAAGCAGCTAATAGAGAAGCGGTCAGCTGTGAGGAGCGGGACACAGAGGAAGAAATGGATGAAGGCGGTTGACTGGGAGGAGGTGTTGAGTGCAGTGATCAACAATGGGTGTGGGTGTCTGTTTCACTGTATGTGTAAGAGATAGAAAGAGAGAGAAAGAGATGTGGAGGTGGCGATCGAAGGCTAAAAGAGGAAGAGATGAGTAAATTAGGGCTTTAAGCCTTTAATTAAGACTGAAGTATATATATATATAATATATTTTTTAATGCGTATAACAGGGACGGGGCGGGGTGGGGCAGGGTGGGGTAAAGATAAGTCTATTCTCATCTCTATCTCTGCATCTCTGCATCTCTGCATGAATTTATACGAATATCTCCGTATAATCTATCTCCGGTCCACAGTCATCCGCTGTCACGAGTAGATAAAACTTAACAGAACGCAAGGGAGGGAACTGCTGGACCCACTTATCCATTGAACTTTCACACATTCAAATCCTAACGTCTGCTTGTGCAAACAAATTCACAAACCAGAAACAATTAACAACAGTGGAACAGCTAAATCCAACCCATTAATGGCTATAGCTTCTCTTCTACCCAAATCAATCTCACTCTTTCTCACAAACCCACCTTCTATACCCTTAACCCACTTCACCAATGTCTCCTTCTTGAACAACCCAACAGACCAACCTCTTTGCAGCAAAAAAACTATCTGTGCAAATGCCAAAAAAAAGAATCAGTGGCTTGACCCTTTCGACTATGGCGATGACCCCGAAATGGAGTATGGGTCATTATTCGCTGATGGTAAGCAAGAAGAGGATCCGAGGCCACCGGACAATCCCGATAACCCATATGGGTTTTTGAAATTCCCAATGGGATACAGTGTGGAAATAGCTTCTTTGGGGTTGAAGATTAGAGGGGATGTTCGTCGATGTTGTTGTGTGATCTCTGGTGGTGTTTATGAAAACTTGTTGTTCTTCCCGGCGATTCAGTTGATTAAGGACAGGTACCCTGGTGTTCAGGTGGATGTGGTGGCGTCACCTAGAGGGAAGCAGACTTATGAGTTGAATAAGAATGTGAGGTGGGCTGATCCTTACGATCCAGATGAGGATTTTCCTGATCCGGCGGAGTATACCGATATGATTGGAGTTCTTAAGGTCAGTGGGCTATCACTCTGCTTTGCAGCATTAGAAGGTATTGCATTATGAGGGGAGTATGGATTCTTGTTGTGATACAGATTTATAGGGGAAAACCATGGTCATTCTGAAAATTATGAAGCTTGACTAAGTTTTTGCTAGTTTAGGATCATTCAAACTATAAAATAAACTGTACATCATTAGATTTTTGAAGTTTATTTTGTAAACCAGCCAAATTCAAATAATTTGGGACTGAGCTCGATTAGGCTCAGACAGCTCAGTTCGGCTAGAGTAGGTTTCTTTGTGGCATAATACAAATGTTATTGTCACACAACTCTGATGAAGTACCTCAAACTTATCCTTCCAAACCATTTATACATCTCAATCCCTCTCTTCCTTAATTAAGTTTTTATAAATTTGAACTTCTAAGGTTTAATTTAATAGTTGATTTTGCAGGCCTTGGGGGATTTTGATGTTCATAAATAGATTATTAAGTTCTATGTTTAACTTTGAAATTTTTTGCTCGGTCAAGGTCAGCCCTTCACAACCGTTCTAAATCTGGGCACTAGTTATAATCATAGAGCTAGACAACTGAGTCTTAAAATGAACATGGTAGATGGAATCTTTCTATCCAATTTTCAACTCACTAGGCTTAATTATTCAGGTTTATATTGTTATAGAGCTACTTTGTGCTTGCTTGCAGGGTAGGTATTACGACATGATCTTATCAACCAAACTGGCAGGGCTTGGTCATGCTGCATTCTTGTTTATGTCGACCGCCAGAGACAGAGTCAGCTATATATACCCAAATGTAAATGCAGCAGGGGCTGGATTGCTTCTATCAGAAACATTTACACCAGATAATATGAACCTCTCCGAGGGTGGATACCATATGTGAGTTTGGAGAAAAAACACAGCTGATTGGCATAGTCCATATATTATGAACCAGACACTCCGTAGTGTCTGGTTCTTGCAATTAAGGTTTCCTGGTGTCCAAAATATTTCATATGAACTTGTCTGATATAGGTATCATCAGATGACTGATTGGTTGGGGAGACCAGGTCGCAATGTTCCAAGGCATCTTGTGTCTCCACTGAAAGTGTCGATCTCAAGGAAGCTGAAGGAGGTCGTTGAGGCAAAATATAAGAATGCTGGTGCAGAGAAAGGAAAATATGTTGTGATTCATGGAATAAAATCAGATTCAAAAGCTTCTATGCAGTCTAAAGGGGACATTGATAGCTTGCTACCAATCGAAGTATGGGCTGAGATAGCCATTGCAATAAGGTATGCTATTGTGTGAAATTCTTTCTCACACTTCAGGCTGTGTTTGTAATGATTTTTTGCCCTATGAAATCTCTGAACAATGATAAAAATCAATTATGGACATTTTGAGATGCAACTAAATTGTCAAATCTCTCTTGCGAACAGGGGTGTCAAACCGATCTTTGTCATCCCACATGAGAAAGAAAGGGAAAACGTGGAGGAAGTGGTTGGAGACAATGCTAGTATTGTGTTCATTACTACCCCTGGACAGGTATTGTCTTTCTCCACTCAAGTTAGAGTTCCAATTGCAAAAGAAAACTCCTTCTGTTGAAGTAGATTTAGTGTCACAATGATGGATAAACTTGTTAAGGAAAACGTGATGAAGTATAAAGATGCCAAAAATCCTAATTTATCTGGTTATCTCCATTAGTATTTAGCATTCTTAGATTCTAGTGGTCTCTGTCTGATTCAGCTTGCTGCTCTTATCAATGACTCAATTGGGGTGATAGCTACAAATACAGCCGCTATCCAACTTGCACATGCACGTGAAAAACCGAGGTAAGTTTCCTCTATGGAAAGAAACACTCTACCTAAACTTGCACCAATCAAACTCTCATTTGTCGGGTTCAAGCCTCATTCTCTTCCCCCCCCCCCCCCCCCCCCCCCCCCCCCCCCAATCCCCCCCCCCCCCCCCCCCCCCCCCCCCCCCCCCCCCCCCCCCCCCCCCCCCCCCCCCCCCCCCCCCCCCCCCCCCCCCCCCCCCCCCCCCCCCCCCCCCCCCCCCCCCCCCCCCCCCCCCCCCCCCCCCCCCCCCCCCCCCCCCCCCCCCCCCCCCCCCCCCCCCCCCCCCCCCCCCCCCCCCCCCCCCCCCCCCCCCCCCCCCCCCCCCCCCCCCCCCCCCCCCCCCCCCCCCCCCCCCCCCCCCCCCCCCCCCCCCCCCCCCCCCCCCCCCCCCCCCCCCCCCCCCCCCCCCCCCCCCCCCCCCCCCCCCCCCCCCCCCCCCCCCCCCCCCCCCCCCCCCCCCCCCCCCCCCCCCCCCCCCCCCCCCCCCCCCCCCCCCCCCCCCCCCCCCCCCCCCCCCCCCCCCCCCCCCCCCCCCCCCCCCCCCCCCCCCCCCCCCCCCCCCCCCCCCCCCCCCCCCCCCCCCCCCCCCCCCCCCCCCCCCCCCCCCCCCCCCCCCCCCCCCCCCCCCCCCCCCCCCCCCCCCCCCCCCCCCCCCCCCCCCCCCCCCCCCCCCCCCCCCCCCCCCCCCCCCCCCCCCCCCCCCCCCCCCCCCCCCCCCCCCCCCCCCCCCCCCCCCCCCCCCCCCCCCCCCCCCCCCCCCCCCCCCCCCCCCCCCCCCCCCCCCCCCCCCCCCCCCCCCCCCCCCCCCCCCCCCCCCCCCCCCCCCCCCCCCCCCCCCCCCCCCCCCCCCCCCCCCCCCCCCCCCCCCCCCCCCCCCCCCCCCCCCCCCCCCCCCCCCCCCCCCCCCCCCCCCCCCCCCCCCCCCCCCCCCCCCCCCCCCCCCCCCCCCCCCCCCCCCCCCCCCCCCCCCCCCCCCCCCCCCCCCCCCCCCCCCCCCCCCCCCCCCCCCCCCCCCCCCCCCCCCCCCCCCCCCCCCCCCCCCCCCCCCCCCCCCCCCCCCCCCCCCCCCCCCCCCCCCCCCCCCCCCCCCCCCCCCCCCCCCCCCCCCCCCCCCCCCCCCCCCCCCCCCCCCCCCCCCCCCCCCCCCCCCCCCCCCCCCCCCCCCCCCCCCCCCCCCCCCCCCCCCCCCCCCCCCCCCCCCCCCCCCCCCCCCCCCCCCCCCCCCCCCCCCCCCCCCCCCCCCCCCCCCCCCCCCCCCCCCCCCCCCCCCCCCCCCCCCCCCCCCCCCCCCCCCCCCCCCCCCCCCCCCCCCCCCCCCCCCCCCCCCCCCCCCCCCCCCCCCCCCCCCCCCCCCCCCCCCCCCCCCCCCCCCCCCCCCCCCNTGTGGGGGGGGGGGGGGGGGGGGGGGGGGGGGGTAACGTTTCATGTGTGTGCCTTGTACTATGTTTCAGCACTAAACTTGTACTATGTTTCAGCACTAAACTTAACAAAAAGTGGGTTGCTTTTTGGATAATAGCTTCCACAGTTTCTTCGCAATCCATCATATTCCATTAACACATTATAATTACAAGATAACCCAAAATCCAAACACCAGCTCAACTTAGAACATTAATAAATAGAGCCACTGCTCTCATGTCATATGTGATATTTGAGCCTCTAATCTTCTGAGTGCATTGAGTATAATTATTTCCAAAAATGGGTAGGTTAATGTACTTTGAACTTTATTTCATACTTTTTAGGTCACTTTAGACACGTCAGCAGAATTTCAGTGACAGGATCCTTTAAATCGTCATTAATTCTTTTGGATAATTAATTAATTTTCATATTACAAATTGATACATGGTTAACAGAGTATATTGATACAACATTGAAAATAATAAAAATTTAAGTTACAACTAAATAAGAGTAAGTTATGATTAAAATATTTTAGATTGATAAACAATTAGGATCAATCCCAAATGATCCATTTAGGGAATGTTTGTTTTGAGGATTGCTATACATGATATTGAGAAATGTATTCCTTACATTTCCAATATAAATGAAAATTAGTACGGGTAATAGAAAGTATTTCAATCTCTTCTCATATTTGTCAGTTCAATAGGTATTATACTGGATTTCACAAACAACCATCTATTCTATTACATCATATATAACAAATATATAATTTTACCCTTAACATCATTCATTCCATTATTTCGTTTGTGTAACATCTTTGCACAATATTTTGTATAATACATGGCATGACAATCCGTGCGTTTAAACATAATATAAGGAAAAATTAATAATAATTTTTTTTAAAAAAACCGGTGACACCGTACACTTAGGGCATGTTTGTTCTGAGTATTATTTATGGGTGGTATTAAAAATGTATTCGTTACATTTCCAATACCAAGGTATATTAGTACCGGTTATAAAAATTATTTCAATCCTCTCCCATGTTTGTTTGTTCAATAGGTACTATGGTAGATTCCACAAATAATCATTTATTCTATCACATCTTATATAACAAATATATCATTTTACCATTAATATCATTCATTCCATTTTACCCTTAACAATCTATACAAGGAAAAAATTTAAAATAAATTAAAAAAACCAGTAACATCATACGCTTAAACATAATATAACGAAAAATTTTAAATAATTTTTAAAAAAAAAATTTAAAAACCGGTAACACCGTACGCTTAAACATAATATAATAAAAAAATTCAAAATAATTTTTAAAAAAAACCGATAACATTGTACTCTTAAACATAATATAAGAAAAAAAATTTAAAAAAAAAATCACTCACACCGTACGCTTAAACATAATATAAAGAAAAAATTCAAAATAAATTTTTTATATGTAAACTCTTAACAAAGGANCCCCCCCCCCCCCCCCACATTCCTACCTAATATACTGTTTTGGGTGCCTATGTTTTGCAGCATCGCATTGTTTTGTTCCGAAGAGAAAGGAAGACTGTTTGTTCCCAATGCAAAAGATAAGAAATGTGCACTTCTTTCATCCAAGACNCTTAAACATAATATAAAGAAAAAATTCAAAATAAATTTTTTATATGTAAACTCTTAACAAAGGAGGACATTTGTGTCAATTTGCATGTTTGTACCGTCTTTTCATTTAACCCATGAAAATAATATCACCTCGTAGGTGGTATTCATTGATACCATCTACGAGGTATTATGATTATTGTTCATACCGGGTCGATATTGCGATCCAAAAAATGGTACTAGTTGTAAAATGCTAAACAAACAAGGTATAATTTGTTTTAGTACTATTAGTCAATGATACCACATCATCTTGCCACGTGATATCACAGTTGTAATGAATATTTTCTCCCTCCTTAGGGTATTTCTAACTTNCACAGGGAAGCTAATAGACATTGATGTTGAAGCTGTTAGAAATGCAGTACAGATTTTCTCTATGCCCCTGGTTCTTGCATAGGTGACTTTTTTAACCTTTTTCTTCCTCCCCTCTCCTTCTTTGGGCTAATTGTATAGCTATGTAAAAATCAATGTAACATTGATATACCTCAAGTCCATATTGCTAATCAAATAATTTTTTGGTACAANATGAATATTTTCTCCCTCCTTAGGGTATTTCTAACTTTTACTTAAATTTAGACTCAAATTTAAATTTGAATAAAAAAGTCTAAAAAACTTGTTTTAACCCTTGACTCAAACTTATACCAAATCAAATGAAACTTATTTTTTTTATTCAAATTAAAGGAGACTCAAATCTTTACTCAAATCTTTTAATGGTGATATTTCATCATCTTTTAAATATCCAATGGTCATCATTACTCCATTTTATTTGGGTCTCTCCTTTTTTAAATTTAAGTTTGTCCATTAGAGTCATNTCATGATTGTACACTCATCTTCTATTGATTCATCATAATTGAAGTCTTAAATCTATCAATAGTTTTAGGGGGATTATGGTGGAATTGAAGTCAGAGTTCCGTTATTTCTCAAAACCTAACAATCCAATCAGGACTTCTCAGTCTCTGTTTGTTGCTCTTTTTCTGTCTTCCACCTGAAGTGTTAACTGACTTTAAGAATTGTATTTGCAGGAACCTTTCTGGGGTACTGTGCCTAACACTAGGATATTACTATGCTACTGATTTGAGTTATTTGCAGTATTGATTATTGAAAAAGTAAAACGACAAAATGATAAAAAACTTTTAATGTGCTATCTTGTGATTAGATGAAAAAAAGAGGTGAAGTATTGAGAAATTATTTTTTGACTCCCAGGTCTAAACGAGCACACCAATATCAAATAAATAATATATAATTTCTACCGGTGGATACCTTTTTCATGGTGTTTGCTTTTAGAAAAATGTTATTTGGACTTAATTTAAGGATCTAATATAAGGACCTAATAATGTACAACTATTAAATTAGTTGTAGGCTCCGTCTAATAATGGAACTGACAATTAATCTAATAGTTACATTGAACCCACATCATTAAGTTACCAGATTATGTCCCAAAATAAGGTCCATATAACATTACTCTTGCTTTTATTATGAGTTTTTCAATTAGCAGTAAGCAACAGATTCAAAGCGAGGAGTTGAGCAAGGTGGGATTCTAAGCCCTCGGTGTTTGAGAGGACCTAGCTGTCTCATAGTCGGAACCTCTCCGAGGGGGTT